TACATTTGTACATATCTGGCAGCTTTTAACAAAAGGCACTTCTGATGAAGCGTTGACTAAGCAGGAACATGATTTAACTCTGTCCCTTGTTTCGACAGAGCTGGCAAGTGTCTGGTGCTGACCAGTTCTTCAAGCATTAAGGTGCTGCTGGAGCCTTAGAGCAGGGTGAGGCTGTGCTCACCCACGCTAGGCAAGAATGTGGTTACTGCTTTGCTGGAGTGTCATGGGAGTGCTGGTGTGACAGGATTAGTGAGCTTACAGGTCCAGATCACTTTCTCAGTTCTTCTGCTGTGACAGATGAAGTGACACATAAAACAGCTGTTGAAGTTGTTCTAAGGTTGTGTAGTGCCTGGGTGAAAAATTTTTGTAGTATGAATTTATGTGCACTTGCAGAATGATCAAATCTGTCCAAATGCATTATTGCCATGTGCTTGTATTTACACATCATCCACTGAGAGATGTGCAGTATCTTCCTTTTCTGTCTGTGTGGGATTTGCCCAATGCCCATGTCAACCCTCTAGTCACAAGCCTGCAGCCTCTACAGCAAGGAAGCAGCAGTTTACATTAAAGACTGCTGTATCCTCCACCCACCTGAGATAAAGGATGTAGAGCAGTGAATGGAACTGAACAGCTGTGATCCATATAATCCAGCATTAATGCATTTTTGTATGAAGACCCTTGTTAGGAACGGTGTAATTGTATTAAGGTGTGTGGGTGGTTTTGCAGAAACTTTAGATCTGCTCCTGGGTAGGCCCTGCACAAATCTCTCTTGGAATAAATGGGACATGTGAACTGTGTAATTGCTTCCCAGCCCTGCTGTCAGGCAGCACCCTCCTTAGGCACAGAGACATGAGGCACACCTCCTTATCTCTGAGCACCCTCAGCTCAGTGCAAACAGGTGACACGTAAGCCTCCTGGCTGTGTGCTCAAGAGGTGGTGCTAGAAAAATACTCCTACTGGATGTAATATCTCCAGTGTGCTAACTATTCCTATAGCAGAGTTTGGGGTAAGTGGTATACCTTACTTTAAATTAATGTGCTTGAGGACTGTCTGGTTAGGGACATACACTGTATCTGTGTACATGTTTCTATTTGCAGCTCAATGCCTTTTTTTTTTTTTCTTTTGCTTATGTTTTAATTTACTCATCTCTTTTGCCTTCTTCCTTTTTCCTTCTCTTCATCAGCTCAGTAGCAGCACAAGAGTTGCATGTTCTGTGTTAAGGCCAGTTCAGGAAGCATATATTCCCTGTTCCCATACTGCATGGGGGAAATCCTGCATGCCAAGCCAGTTTCCTTAATTCATACAGGAGCAATACTGCCATAGTCTGGAATGTTTTATCACACAGTAGAGTTGTGATATTTGTGCCCTGGAGGAAAAAAATATGAGCCTGTTAACGTTGATGCCTGTTAATGTGAGAGTATCTCGGACTAGGAAATCCAGGGAACAAGAGGAGCACTTGCTTTGCTCAGTGTCCCTTTTTGATAAACCACAGCCTGGATGTGTGTGTATGTGGAGGCTCCAGAGCAGCAACTGTACAGGCACAGCTGTGTGGGTCCTGTCAGCAATGGAAAAGGCCAGTGGAGTTTTTCCAGCACTTGCTCATAGTTCTTGTCCATCTGCATACCAAGCCAAGTGCAAAGCCAGAGCTGAATGGGATTTAAGGAGGGATTTACAGCAGGCAAAACTGTGGAGGGCTTGATGTGGAGCTTAAAACTGTGTGTCCATTCCTGATTTTTATTTTTTTTAACCAAGGGGTCCTTAGGCTTTTGAGGAAGATTTGGGCATGATTTTCTTTTGGTGACCTGATGAATTCTGATTGTATCATCACTTTTCTCTGAATCTTCTACATGCTCTCCTGATATGCAAGGTACAGGAATGTGGAAGGACAAACTGGAAAGCATGGAACTATAAGGCTTAATTTAAAAAAAAAAACAAAACCAAAATTGGAAGAAAAAGGTGGAATGGGGTTTTAGTAACAGGGCCATGACTTTTAAAAACTTCACAGCAGTTTTTACTATAAAGGTACTTTGCTGGGAATATATTCTTATTTCTGTTATGTGGAGCTGGATGTGTCTGGACATTAGGACTGCAGGTCTCGGAAGAAGAGGGTGGAGATCACTTTTTAAATATTTGTACAGGGAGGAGGACAAGGCTTGAAACTGCTATGAAAATAGCTCTTTGCATGTCTCCAAGGATAGGTTAACTGTGCAGGGTTTCACAAGAACCACTCCCTGGAGATATTTGAATAATAGATTGACATTATGGGGTGCAGTGAGAGGTGTGTGCATTTCAAAAGCCGAAGGAGAAAATTTCCTTTTCAAGCAAATCCTTTAGAAGGCATTTTTATGCCCTTCCTGTGAAGGGCTCCTGGTCTTCTGTCAGTCCTCTGGAAATTGTATTTGTAACCAGCCATAGGGAGTATTGAGGTTTAAGTGGGCTGAATGATGGGGCATGTTTGGACAAACAGACATTACAAATCAGATATGACACTAGGAATACCTTTAGGTTTTACTTTCCCAAGGTCTAACCTTGATCTTTCTGTTTTGGCCAGAGCTTTAACCCAGCCCTGTCCAGTGGAAGGGTGCAGCTGAAACAACAGTTCCCTACAGCTCCATGTAAGAGCTGTAGTGCCCTTCCTTCCTCTGTAAGGTCTTGCACAGGGTGCATGATAAATTAGCTTTCTTATGACATAAATTAACAGGGATTAGGTGGCACTGTCATTTGTACTTTTTATTAAAAATATGTTCTGTATACCTACAGTTAGCTAACACAATACCAACAAGCCAAGGCAAATACCTCTGTACAGGTGGGATAGCACAGTAAAAGGCAGGAAGGTAGCTTGTCTTTGTATAATATACTGGCCCCGAGATTTAAGTCTTTTAAAGCAGCAATTACTTTAGGGATATCAAAGCTGAAAGAACACATGCTTAAGTAGAGGTTGAGCTTACACAGCTCTGCCCTTGAAGAACATTCTGAGGGCAAAGGAAACACTATGTAAGAGATGGAAGTCAAATCAAATGCAGTCTTTAGAAAAAAACCTTATTTGTTTATTTTTTAAACTATTTTTCCCTTTCTTCTAGTGCATTTCAATGAAAAGACTTTGTAGACCAAGGTTTGCAGTCTGGTTTTACCTCTTTTTCCTTCCCCAGCAGGGGACAGGATTTAAAAAATGAAACAAAACCCTCAAAATCACTTTTGCTGATACATGTGAGTCTGTCTAATGGATTGGGTTTTTTAATTTCTTCTAGAAGTACTCTTATGGCAGTGTGGCTACCTGTTTAACTTGCTTACTTGAACATGCTGCTCCTTCAGCCCTGTGTGGTGGATGCAGGCCTGCAGTTGTGGTGAATTTGTGTGAAAAGCTCACTGATAACTATTCCTGCAGCGTTTACTCTTTCAATCTTCTGCTCTATTGCAAAACTTTGGTTAAAACATGACAAAGGAAGTTAATTAGCTGGCTGTGGTGTAGTAGTGAGTGTGACCTCTGTCACCTAAAACTCCTTTCCTGCAAGGTTTTACTGGTATTGATGGCATACTTTAAAATATGCCTGGGCTGGGGAAAAAGAGACTTCAGCCCTGAAAAAGGAAAAAAAGTGTCAGATGCTTTCCACTGACTCTTTGGTTGGAGAGTATCTGGGTAAATCTGACCATGGTCTGCATTTGCCTGTGGTAAGGTGAGCCATGGCTGAGTCAACATGTCACAGTTCTGTGACCAAGAGCAGGACTAACACCAAGGTGAGGCTTTAGAGACAGTTATGATTTGAGCTGAATGGTGGTGATTGACACCCACGTACTGGAGGTACAGAGTTTGTTCCAAACCTCAAGCTGTGAGTTGATATTCAAGAAATGAATTGGTGTTTTGCCATTGATGCAAACTACTGCAGTGTTTTACTTGAAATGAATAACTTTATCTAGTTCAAGCTACAAGTAGTTCCAAAAATACTTATTTACGGTTGAAACAGCAGATTTTACTCTTTTAAAATTTTATTTCATCATCTAATTTTTTCTATTTTGGTTTATCACAATTTTCATCCTTCATAAAAGGCAATTTTATGCCAATTTTATGTTGCTTTATGAATGGTTATTTTAGGCTTATCTTTTTATGTTCTTCTCTTTGAACATGAGAGAAGGCAGCTCTCTACTGTTTGTTTTGGGGGAGGAGAGGCTCAGTAGCTACTCAACAGGAAAGTGCCAATGCACTCATATCAGCCTTTGTAGTACACGTGAAATTTGCCAGTGACTTTTGTTACACGTTCCAGCTGTTCCTGCACATAGATCAGACTACACATAATGTGGTTATTTTTTCAAAGGCGCAAAAAGGAGAAAGAGAAATTTCTTAAATGTGTATGAGCCATGGAAAAAATGTATGTGTTGTTTGGTGGCAATTCAGGATCAAGATTTAGTTTGAATGATTAACTAGCATCTTAATAAAAACTTTGAAAATTGTTCCTCGAAACCAAACAACCCAAGAGCAAGAAAATAGCTATTTTTCAGTCTTGAAAAAGCTTTAGAAGAAAATTATTGTAATTTTTATTTCAATATAGTGGGCAGTCTCAAAAAATGTAGGAGTTTTTTGTATATTAATAATGCCACAGTGAGAGTGAGGCCAGAATTGCATTGCTGGTATGTTTAAGTAGCTTTTACAAGCTTCCATGCAGATTAAAATCAGTTCTGCAGTTCATGTTCCAGATATCTTGAATACTTTGACCTTGATTTTCAGTCTTTCCCGAAGAAGGTAGAATTTTGTTGTCTTCTCTTTCGAGTAATAAATGTAATAATAATGTAATAAAATTAAAGATGCACTTTTTCAGTCACAGCTGAATTTGCTGTTGGATTGGTGTAATTGAGAGTTTAAGGTGAAGCCAGTGTAAAGGAGTACAGAACTTGTCTCACTGCTTGATGCTTTGTAGTTCAAATAGTGATTTGTATTTTAAACATTTGTCAAAAGAAGCCCTGGCAGAGCTGGTGACTAATTCATCCTTTTTGCTTTGCTTTTTAAGGTGCCTCCTGAATTCTCACTATGTCTGATGGGGACTACGATTACCTCATAAAATTTCTAGCACTCGGTGATTCTGGAGTAGGAAAGACCAGCCTTCTTTACCAGTATACAGATGGCAAGTTTAACTCCAAATTTATCACAACGGTGGGCATTGACTTCCGGGAAAAGAGAGTGGTGAGTTTTCACAAAGAATGTGTTATTTGAAAATGGTCTCTATTTGTTAAAAATCAGACCTGCCCATCCCTATGTGTAGGCATGTAATCCATAGTTCCTGTGTACTTAATCTTGTGACAGGGTAAAGGCCTCATGTTACCTGGTTATTTTTGAGTGTACAGACCCATTTCCCCAAAAGTTAAAGAAGAGCTGATTCTAAGAAACCACTGCATTCTGTTCAGCAGGTGTTGATGGGAGTGTCTACTCCATGAATTGTGCACATAATACCTGGAGTAGCACTTATATTGTTGAACTCCCTCCACAAGGAAGAAATGAGCTGTAGTAAAAATGCTTTTTCCTGTGTGTGAACTGGAAATGGCCAGTGAACAAAGGCTGTAATGTTGATTTTAAAACCATTTTACAATGTGGATGGAACAGGATAGCATGATACATGCCAATGATCTGGCTTCCTAAGCAGTCACCACTACCAGAGAAGAACTGTCAAAAATAAGGTTTTGGTTTTTTTTTTTTTTTAACCTGAGTTGTTATTAAACTAAGAAAATGTACTTTTGATATAAAGCTGAGCAATGTGTTATGATAACCATCTGGATGCTGGTCCTTACTGCTCTGGAAAGTGGAGTTGGCACAAGTTGTTTTTTCATTCTTGTGTACAAGTATTAAATGCCTGATGATTTCCCAAGTGTCCAGAAATCTGGATGGTGCAGGAGGCATTGTGCAGACTGGCTTTTGATGCGTGACATGCACCACAGTCATGCAAGGAGTAGCTATCTTCATGAAAATGCCAAGCTGATCTCTTGAATAAGTCACTGTTCCTTCTGTGGGATAGTAAACATGGTGTGTTTGCTTGATCAGCATATTTGATAACTCAGGATAACATTTAGGTTTCATAGCCTGAAATTTTATAATCCACAAATTCAGCAAGATTATGTATCTTTAAAGATATGTTTGTAACTCTAGTAGTCTTAGGTACAATGGCAGTTGAAGGTAAAGAATATGACCTAACATGAAGTTTCCTAAGCAAGAAATGAATCTATTTTTATCTGATCCTTCTAAGATTAATAGATGCCCTTATTTATATTTTCATGCTGAGTAAACTCTTCAGCTTTTGTTATTATCATGCAATTTCTGCTTTATAAGCTGTGATATGAAAAGATCTACCCTCAGCAATTTTTCAGCAATCTTTTGGCAGCTAAGAAGAGATGTCATTATCTCCATGAGTCAGTTTGCTGATGAGGTTCTGCTGGTGGCAGAAATACATTGCCAGATTGCATTGTTGCTTTCTTATATTTTCATTTGAACATTATACAAGATAATAGTAAAAAACCCCATAAAATCGAAATATTAAAATTAATCTTATCTCATGGCTGCTCTAAATATCTGTCTGGAGGCCATAGTCTATTGGAGACTGCTTTTCCAATTCACTTTTACCCTTATTTTTAAATATTAAATTGGATGCAAAATTAAAATGTAACATATTTCTTTTTTTCTTACAAAGCAAAGGGATTGAGTTGTAGTTGGGATCTTTGCATCGGCAGTGCTACTTTTGTTGCATTTAATGACTTTAATTTAATTAACTTAAATTGCATTTAATGTTGCATCAGTTATTTTGTGTTCTGTAGCAGCTGGACTGGTAACAAATTTACCTTTTATAGGTGTATAGACCCAATGGGCCGGATGGTGTTGGAGGCAGAGGACAGAGAATACATCTTCAGCTCTGGGACACTGCAGGGCAGGAAAGGTATGACTGGAGATGGGAACCTGTGCTTGCTGTAACAGTGGTGGAAAGTTTCCTATGAATACTTATTAAATTATGGCTATAATTTACAACTGCAGAACACGAAAACTGTAATTCTTGCTTTTTGTCTTTTGGAAACTTTCAGTTAACTTTTTTCATGGCCGATATAGATGCTTTTAAAGCTTTTCTTTCTCAGGTTTTTCTTAAATTTCTGTAAATATGTTGAGGGCTTGGGAAAGTCAGACAGGTAAAATCATCTCAAAGGATTCTTTTCTATTTGCCTATCAAAAGACTAGAATCCTCGTGGTTGTTAGTCTTAAAATGAAGGACTGATGTGTTTAGGGGATAAATTTCTGTTCAAAGTTAGAATTTCATTATTATTTTAATCTCTGACTCTTGATCAAGGCATGCTTTATAGTAGAAGACTTAGTCTAAAGCTCTCACTCTAGTCTCTTTGATTCCTTAGGCCTTGATTAGGCCACAGTAATGTTAGCAATTCCTGTTACACAGTCCCTGCATCAGCAAAACAATTATGAATATTTCATTCTAGCTAATTCAGTCTTGAGTTACCTCAGTTTTATGACTGTATGCAATTATGTTTTTAAAGTAACTTGTCAGATGAGCCAACTAATTTCACTTTGCTGGTCTAGGTTTCGTAGCTTGACAACAGCTTTCTTCAGAGATGCCATGGGCTTTCTGCTACTCTTTGATCTGACAAACGAGCAAAGCTTTCTGAATGTCAGGAACTGGATAAGTATGGCTTTTTTTTTTCTTTCTTTGCATGGATGGGGAGTGGTTATGTTTCTAATGTGGAGTTTCACTGAGAAATAGAACATAAAACACTGTTTTTTGTCACTTTCTCAGTAAAAGAATGTAAATATTACATTCATAATTGTAATAGCTGCTAGTGATGGCTTCTAGGGCTTACCTGAAATTCAGCTTTGCCTACCAAACTTGAATCTTAACCTATATGAAAGCAGGTTGAGAGAACATCATACCCCTGGCTCTGATGCTGTTCAGTAATTTAAGAGTGTGGAAAGCCTATGCAAAACTCTTATTTTGACTCACCTGAAGCTTTGTCAGCAAAACTTAACGGAAGGCAAATGTTACTGGTCTCGTATATGTAGGCAAAGAGGTTCCTGAACTGCATCATCCATAAGGAGGGGGAACTATATCCTTTCCTGGCAGCTCACTGGAGATACTTAGTGAGCATAACTCCTTAATCTGCAAATACACAAGTTTCTGGGCTAAATTTGTCAGGCTTCTGTTTCTCTGGATTTTTCACTGGGTAGGTGGTAGTGGGTGCCCAGCTGTTCCCTGGCTCCTCAGAGCAGTAGCAGAAGTGCTGTGAGCTAACAGAGAACATGCTTGGTTTGTGGTGGTGTCCTGAGTGAGCTCTGTGTTGTGACCCCTGTTCATGTTGGTGCTCTTAGGTCAGCTACAAATGCACGCGTATTGTGAAAACCCTGACATTGTGTTATGTGGAAACAAGAGTGATCTGGAAGACCAGAGGATGGTGAAAGAAGAAGAGGCTAAAGAACTTGCAGAAAAATACGGGTAAGTAACTTCCTTCCAATTATTGCTGTCTTTAAAAGTAGAATGAAATGTTTTCTGTAATGCTTTTTTCTGCGTACTGAAAGATTGCTGTGAGAATAAGCATTTTAGGATGTTTAACTGGCTGGTATATCTTTTTTTTTTCTGTCAGAGATTAATGTGTTCTGCATTGCTAAAAAATAAATACTTAGTATTTCAATAATATTGCACTGGAGATTGGTTAATCTTCTTTCCTTGGCAGTAAACAAAATAAATTTTCACAGACATTCTAGAAAAGAGATAGAATTTAGGTAGAGAGGCAGGTGAATAATGGGTTCTTAGCTCGTGCCTGTACTGAGGCATCTGCACTCTCACAGGCTCCCAGGGAGTCTGAAAACTGAGTCAGAAAGCAGGAAGACAGGGTAGCCTTGCCCTTCCCCTTCCCTACAGGCACAGGTCATGTGTCCCTGAAGAAAAATGTGAAATCTTTGTTCCTACGAAATATTAATAACCCCATAGTACTTTTATACCCCCTTAACTCTTTCATGGGGCTCATCTCTGGATTACATTTGCATTTCGCTATGAATCAGAAATGCACTTCTGAAGGAAATCTTCTGATGCTTTTATTGTGGTTTGATTCACATGGTGAAGCAGCTTTCTGGCACATGAATTGGATTCCTTCTCAGCTGAAAAGTGAACTACATGATGTGGTCCAACCAGTAATCTGTGTTCAGTCTGGAGGAATAGATGAGAACTGCTCCACAGAAAAGCCCATAAAACATGCATGGTGTGAGCACTGGCTCCTCAGTGCAAACTGCCTTGTTCTGCAGCTCTTCTCCTGTTGTGTCATGCTGGTTCCATGCTTAATGTGACTGTTTCTTAATCTCTTTATATGTGACTTCTGGAAATAATTTATGAAATATTTGTCTTTGTGGCTGAAAATGCCAACTTAATTTAGGAATAGGGAGCTAAAAGTCAAGGTTGTGGATCACATCCAGTCCGTAGGCAGTTACGAAGTTCTCTGCCCTGTAGAGGTGAGCCAGGATAGCTGTTAGGAGTCATTCTCTCCTGAGGGGAACCAAGATAAATCCTGCTGCAGTGAACAGTTTTCTGGTAACAAAAGTGTGAGTATCCCTTTTCTGTGAAGGGCCTTGTACTGATAAGTGATATATTCAAAAATAATTGCAGCAGACCTACAGACTGAGACAGTAAGATATTTCTGACCACTCACTGAGTTTTGCAAGTTAAGTAAGAAATACTGAAAATTCTGAAGTGATGATCTCAGTTTCCTGGGCAGTAACACCAATGTAGCTGCTGTAGCCCCTCACTGTGGGGACCACTAAGTGCAGCTGGTCACAACCTTTGAAACTACCATTGGAACATCCTGATCCACAACAGTAATGAAAATGAGCAATGTATTTTCAATAACAAGGTGCCAGAAACTTTTGTTTACAAAGACATAGGTGGTCTGAGCACTGAGATTTTATGTAAGAAAGTTTAGAGTTAGGATGTTAGCAGAAGAAACAGTCACCTTTTGCAGTGATAAGGTACAACACTGTGAGTCTTTACTGCCTTGCCTGCAGAGGAACAGCCATACCAGCATTCCCCCTCTTGCAATGACTCCAGAGCTGATGTGTATAGAAATCAGAAAGGAGAACACTTAATGCACACGAGGACATAGAAAATAATTGCATCTCTTCCAGGGAACAGAGCTTAAAAAAACAGACCTCAGGAGCATAATTCATACTGACCAGTGCCTCTGTAAATTTTGGACTCCATTAAAGCTTACCCTTCTGCCCTACTTACAAAGTCAGCCACTTCATTAATTTCTTTTGCATTTCAGACCAGAGCACTTAAAATCACACAAAGGCTGTCACTGCTGCTCCACGGCAGAAAGACACTGAGTACGTGGCAGTAACCTGTATGGTTTTGTTCTCCTGTGAGTATAAACTGTGTGATGTAAGTTTGTGTTTTTTGTCTTCTGCAGAATACCATACTTTGAAACCAGTGCAGCTAATGGGAATAATGTAAGCAAAGCCATTGAAACTCTGCTTGACCTCATTATGAAGCGCATGGAACGGTGTGTGGATAAATCCTGGATCCCTGAAGGGGTGGTGCGTTCCAATGGGCACAGCTCTACAGAACAACTCAATGAGGAGCAAGAAAAAGGCAAATGTGGCTGTTAGCCCAGTTACAATTAAGTTTAATATGTATGATATAGTACAGTTGCAGCTTAACTGTTTAACTTATGGACAAATCACATTGTGTAGTTATTTAATGAGCTCTATTAATTCTTGATACTAATTTTTGTTTTCTGCCTCTCAACCAACTTTGGCCTTTGCTTGCAAGGTATGCAGTTTATTACTGATGGGACAGAGGATTAGTTTGGTCTAGCACTGGATATTCCTCTACTTCTGTGCTTTGGAGAAAAGGGAAGGAAAGGAATTTTCATTACCAAATTCGGAAACATCTCTATGGACAATGAGAAAGGGTGGGGTTCTGAACTGAAGGGTTTTATTTGCCCTTTGAAAGCTCCAGTAACTACACAGACTAGGCCTTTAGATTAGATACTGTGACAGCCTTTGGTCTCTACTAACAGCAAGCTTACCAACATGGTTCTTGGTTTTGAACAGAAACATTTAATCATTTCACCAATCAGTAACAATCTTAAAGAGCAAATCCTGTGTTTTTCACAAAAGCTTGTGAGTAGTTTCTCCTTGCTCTCTCAAACCATCAGTTTTTAGTGATGAAAACCAAAAGAAAGCTATTCAATGCAGAGTAAAAAAATCCAGAGTAGCACAGGGGTGCTCATGGAGAGCACTTGTGGTATGTCATGTGCTTGAACATGTAAACTACAACTGTACTATATAAAGTATATCCAACGCAGCCTGTGTGACCTCCTGACAGCATCTGAATTTCTAGAACACGCAGCTACATATATTTATGTGTAAGTGGCATAACTGTGCATCTGTTATGTTTCTTTTATATTACCATTCATGTTTTAAGAGGAATGTAGGCCAGCTTACATGTCAGCAAAATTTCATCAGAGCTGGTGCTTTGCACTGAATTTGTTTTACCAAACACAGATTCAGAATGTTTCTTCAAATTTGGATTGAAAAATGAATGATGATTTGTCTTCTGGTGAGATGCAGCTAAGATACTAGTTCTGTAGATCAGTATTTCTATAAATTTATAATGCTCATTTTATTCTGCCAACCTTTGTGTCCTGTACATCTTGGTTATCATATATTCATTTGTGGCTCATTCATTTCCTTTAGGTTGTATTTAAAAAAGAATAGAGTTGCTTTTCTTTCCCCCCCCCCTTACAGATCATATAAATGTCAGTTTTGGTTTCAGTGGATCATGTTACTCTGACCATTTTTATTTCTTCATACAACCTAAGAAAGAATCAGTGTTTTTTGGGTCTTTTTTCCAGACTGATTTATGAGATGTGCCTACCATACTGATTTCTATCCTGGCAGAGGTTGTATAACTGTAAAGTATTGCCAATTAAAGTCATAACATGCCAAATTGAGTCTCATTAAAGACTTTCCACAGCAGTTTGTTTACAAAACTCTAAAGGTATTGCTTCTTTAGAAATTATGTATTTATTTATTTAAATATTCTAAGTACTGCAATTTCAGGCAAGTATTAATACCACTTATGAACATGAATTGCAACATAACAAATTTTATGAAGGAAGGACCAAAAATGTTTCTAGAATAGGAGTTAAGAAAAAATATATATTTGATGTAGCCTCTGGTTATATTAATTAATACAAGAATAAGTGTTAAAACTTGGTTCTTAAAATATTTTACGCAGGAACGCGTTGTTCTTTAACAAACACATGTAAATATTAAATTTTTATCACAGCCTACACAGAATATTTTAGAAGTGCAATATAATTTGGCTGCTCTGGAGCTAGGACAGAGATAAAAACAATTTATATATGATTATAGGGTTTGGTTTTTTTCTACTGCACAATACCAAGATTCTAAAATGCTTGTGGACCGGGGTTACTGTAGTTGAACTCAGAGTGCCTTTTGAAGTTACCATCATGTCTCTGACCAGTAGAGCAACAAACTCTACTGTAGGACACAATACATTTCAATGTACTTCAGTGTCTGAATTTCTTTTAATGTAACTCTTTGCTTTTCAGAGGGTTACAGTGGAACTTTGTCATGCATTAACTTTAATGGGAGTTTTTGTGCTTATGCTCCATCCAGTACCTGAAAACTTTAAGGATTATTGCAACCAACTACTGAGCTAAGTAGCTACTGAAATGGTGTAAAAATATTTCCTTTTGAATACTTATGTTTAAATTGGATATTAAATATTAAATACTGGAACTGTCATATTTTTGTCATGCCTGTTATTTGTAGCTATTTACAAAGAGAGTCTACATAAAATTGCTTTGATGTCAGCCTTTGAAATGTGTCATAAGATTTATCTGTTTGAATTATTGTGTGGCAGAACTTTTTTTCCCTTTTAAACTCTCATGAGAAATCATAGTAATGTTTCTTGACAGTAAATTACACTATTCTTATTAGTCTAGTACTGGTTTTAAAAAACAAAGAAACAAGAATTCTTATGTGATGAGAAACTGTTATTTCAAGAAAAGTTGTTTCCATCCAATGTCCAATGAAAACATCTGTATTGGAACAAAGTTTTGGAAAGGATTTCCCTTATGTTTCATTGTCCCAGGATTTCTTATTAATATCAAATAGTTAAACGTTCCTGATCTGAACTTTGCCAGCATTGTTGAAGAGAGCCATGACATTTCCTGTTGTCCCGGTTCAGTGTCTGTCCCTCTGCACTGTCCCTGTGTGTTGTGGGATTTTTTAGTTCAAATGCATCCACATTCTGTGCTGTGGCTGAGGTGCTTCCTGATATTCTGCTCTTGCACTGACCAAACCAGTCAGATGTGGGCCTGATGGGTCCTGGGAGATGCCAGAAGGAGCTCAAACCCACAGAAGGCAATAGAGGTGTCAGTTCTGTACTCATAAGACATTTAGAATGCTGCCAGTCTGTGCATGCTGCATGTTCAGAGCAAAGGGAATCAACCAATACATTTTGTAAAATCTATTGCTTCTACAAAGGTAAGCGCCTGATTTTTCAGAATAACTGCTTCCATCAAGAGCAGTGTGTATTTCCAGGTAGGTTATGATGTCCTGGAGGACACTGCTGCTATTCAAATGTTCCTTGACAGGCAAGAGAATGAGCTGAACTAAACAATTTTAAGTTTAAAAGGGGCAAGTTTGACTTGGTATTCTGTCTGCGCTGGAATAACCCCATGCAGTAGCACTAGCTGAAAAAACATTTTTCAGGAAAGGAGTGGACATCCTGTTCCAAAGCAGGCTGACCAAAAGCCAGAAGTGTGCCACTGTGGCAGAGAGGACCAACTGCATCTGGGGCTGCACTAGTAAAATGAAGGCACCAGGTTGGGGGTACTCAGTGTGTGTGTGGGTTTTGGCATATTACTCCTTTTATAGATACTCTTCTCAACCTTTCCCCCCAGTAACCTGTTTGAATAATGGTTTAGAAGTTGTGGCTCCAACCACTGGAGCTTTCTTACAGTGTTTGGGGCCCGGTCGATGGCAAGTTGGGTATGAGTCAGCAGTGCCCTGGCAGCCAGGAGGGCCAGCCGTGTCCTGGAGGGGCATCAGGCACAGCATCGCCAGCCAGGTGAGTGAGAGGATTGTCCTGCTCTGCCCTGACCTGGGGCGGCCTCACCTGGAATATCGGGGCAGTTTTGGGCTCCACAATATAAGAAAGATATAAAGCTATTAGAGAGTGTCTAGAGGAGGGCAGTGAGGATGGTGAGGGGAGGTCATACGAGGAGTGTCTGAGGTCATGGGTCTGTTCAGCCTGGAGAAGAGGGGACTGAGGCACCTCGCAGATATAACTTCCTCACGAGGGGAAGAGGAGGGGCAGACACTGATCTCTTCTCTGTGGTGGCCAGTGACAGGACCCGAGGGAATGGCCTGAATTGTGTCAGGGGAGGTTTAGGTTGTATATTAGAAAAAGGCTCTTTATCCAGAGGGTTGCTGGGCACTGGAACAGGCTCCCCAAGGCAGCGGTCACAGCCCCAAGCGTGGAAGAGTTCAAGGAGTGTTTGGACAACGCTCTCAGGCACACGGTGTGACTCTTGGGGTTGTCCCGTGCAGGGCTAAGAGTTGAACTCAGTGATCCTTGTGGGTCCCTTCCAGCTCAGAATATCCAGTGATTCTGTGACTGACCAAGGGGGCCCAGCAGCGATCACTTCCCCTCAGGCCCTGGGCTCCCACCGCTCCCGCGGGGCCCGTTCATTCCTGTGGGAGCGCAGCGGCCGCGCTGCCCGGCGGGACCGGCAGGGGGCGGTGGCGCTGCGGGCCCGGCCCCGCCGCCTCCGGTCACCTGAGCGGCCCTTCCGCGGCGGCGGGGCCGGGCCGAGCCGCCGCCATGCGGATCGAGAAGTGCTACTTCTGCTCGGGCCCGATCTACCCGGGCCACGGCGTCATGTTCGTGCGCAACGACTGCAAGGTACGGCGGGGCCGGGCCCGCTCCCCCGGCAGCCGGGGCGCTCGCGGGTTCGCCGGGTCCCGGGGCCCTCTCCCTGGGCCGCAGCCCCCGCACGGGCCGGGCCGCGTTCGTGAGGCGCTGCCGGGCCCGCACACACCGCCCGGGAGTGTCGGCGGGGCGGCAGCCTCGACCCGGAGCGATGCAGCGCTTTGGCCGTCGGGAAGAGTGGGGGATGAATTATATTTGTTTTCGGTTCTTAGTAAGAAATTAGACGGCTCGCAGAGCCATATACAGTCCTCATCCTTTAATATTCTGATTTTAGGGAAGGGTAGGTTTAGGTAGGAGCAGGTTGCACAGCTCTGAGCAGCCGAAGTTGCAGAGGGAGGCCGATGGCCTGTGTTCCTCGTGGTGCTCTGCTAAAAGTGCTGAAAGTCGTAGCTCAGGGATCTGATGTGACTCACCCAGTTGAGGCTGTCACAACAGGCCGTGCATAGCGCTCTGGGCTTAGCACTGCGGTGGCAATTCCGTACATAAAACGTTGTGTATAGTTTTCCAGCCTTTGCCGGAACTCGCCGTCGTTCCTGCGGGGCGTTGGAGACCCCAGTGTGAAGTGAAGCTTGCGCAAATAGCTTCCTTCCTGTGCTCGGGCGTCAGAACACGTCCCGGCCGGGCTGCGCTGCTCGGATGAGTCACGGCTCTGGGGAGCTCGGTGTGCACTGACACAGCGCCGTTTACTGAAAAGGGCCACGAGGTGTGTGTGCTTAAAAAAGATACCACAGTGGCAGGTTAGTTGTGAACAGATAATCTGTGAAAGAGACAAACCTGCCGTTCTGTTTCGCTGAGTTGAGGTGAAAAAACTTGGTAGAAGAGTGTAAAAAAAAAAAAAAAAAAAAGTTCTTTGAAGGTGATCGCCTTAACTAGAGGTTTCTTATTTTCTGTTAATTTTCTTTAGAAGTGACTGTTCGGTGGGAAGGAGAATATGGTTTAGAAAAATAGGGTTTTCAAAAATTCGCAAGTAACAAATGTAGTTTTAAGTATTCTTAAGTAAAGAATCTGGCATTCTGTAGAATGTGTGGAAAAATAGGGAAACAAGAAAAAGTCCAGTTAAAACATTTTAACATATTCTTTAACAGCTTTCAATGAATTCACTCTGGGACTTGACTATTGTGCTTAGAACTCCTTTGAGGCTTAAAGCTGCGTTCCAGAAAATAGACTTTTTTTGTGTGTGTGTGTGTGTTGCATTCAGTATGAGAGGTGTGAGGATTTTTATTGTCAGAATGGTGCTGTATCTAAAAAGTGCTGGCAGCTATATAAAATTGTTTATTCATGCTACAGGTTTGGTTTTATGGTTATTTTTGCAGATGATAATTCTCACAGCTCAGGCATATTTTATTTATAATCAGTTTAATTGTAAGTATTTGTACATATCCCTGGCAGCTGTGAAAATGACTTCATGATGAAAAAACAATAATAGTGCTTGAAATTATTTTTGTTAATAGCAATACTTGCTGTAAGAATACTGATATTTGAAAGAGGAATATAATTTCCTATGAGTAGGATTGTTAGAGCAAGCTCAGTGTTTGTTACCATGCTTGCAATGGGGCACTAATAACATGATTTAACTAAGATTTTTTTTTTCACCTCCCTTCTCTAAGATATTTAGATTCTGCAAATCAAAATGCCACAGAAACTTTAAAAGGAAGCGAAATCCCAGAAAGATGAGATGGACCAAAGCATTCCGAAAAGCAGCTGGCAAAGAATTGACAGTGGTAAGAATTGGTTCACACTTTACATTGACACTGAAATGGCAGAAATGTAGCCTCTTCCCATTGCAAATAGGCTAGGTTAGGTGGCTTAATACATTACCATTTAATTAGATGAGCTGGAGGGATGGAAGAAGGGGAGAAAAGAGAGATTGTGGATGAGAATGTGAGAGTTTTTTGAGACTGAGCTATTCATTTAGCTTGACTGTAGCTTGGATCTTCCCATTTCAGCTTCATGGTGGAGGCCAGTATATCAGGTGTCCGTGTTGGTGGTCCTAGTAACTCCTAGTCCAAGGCATTTCTTTCCATCTACAAATCTATTCTCTGTACCTATCCATTTGATAGTTTTATTTCTGCACAGTCAGATAATCTGGGTCAACAGGTACCCCAGGAAGTCTCTCAGTGTAGGCCCCTAAAATAGTTACCTTTTGAAGTGTCTTTAAAAGCATACAATGTGTAGGAAAAGCCTTTGATAGGTAGGACTGTTTCAAAACCAGCATGAGATCTTAAAAGCAGTTCCAAACAGAGTTGCTTTGGTGGTAAAAATATTAAACAGTCACATTTGGTGGGACAGTCCTTAAATAATTTAAGAATTACTGTGATTTAATTACCTGGGTTTTGACAGAATATTAAAAATTTAGTAAGCATTTTGACACAGTGATTTACTGCCTTCTGTGGATCTTCCAAGGGGAAGAACGTGATTTTATTTTTTAATGTGACTCTGAAAAGCCAAGATTAATTAGCAACTTTGGTAACTGTGTTTCTTGCTTTCAAGTTGTTTTTGGCTAACTTGAATTACCTTTTTGACAAGAACTTGATTTAAAATTTCTTTATATATGTCTAAATAAGTGACAATATGCTCCAATTTTGACATGCATAATGAGCCAGCTTTGCGTAGTGTCTAAATAGGCTTGTGACGATGGGAAATAACGCAGTTTCTGAGAAGGTGACAGGTAACTCTGCTTTACCTCAACAAAAAACAACCTTTGGGCAGGGAAAAGTCCTCAGATAAAACTGGTCTAAAGCTAAGTATGCCTAACAAAATAATTAGGAAACTGTTTTTCCGTCTTCAACTCATGGTGGGGGCATTAGGGGATGGCAGCTGCTCCAAACACCACAATGTCGCCAATTGACATATTTCAAATTAATTTATATTGTT